AAGTCTACAGTTGATCGATGTTTAGCGATTCGTCACTTCCTACGACTCCCACAGTCTGGGAGGTTGGTACTGGCAGCTAGATACCGCACGTGGTTGGGTGATACCAATGCACAAGCTCTCGTGTAGTTGAAAGAGGTCCTGTGACAGCAAGTGTCCTTCATCGGAAACCGTAATCGACGTTTTCAAAGTGTCAGCAACTTGTGTGTCATTCGAGTGTGAGGCCCTCGGCGCGTTGTCCCACGTCCTGCCCTCGCCGGCGGGACGCGCCGTCGCCCCAAACAATCCTTTCCTTTTGAGGCTCATCTTGCAACTCATCAGCAGATTTTCTTGTTCGCTGTATTTAGTAAAGTACTCTCGAAATAAATTGTATCCTGAACCTGGAAACTGTTGCCCGAATTGCTTTCTAAAGTTCATAATCTGTTTTAATAAAATTAATTAATTGAATTGGATTTTGAATTCAAGAACTCAGGTTTAAGTAAGGAAATACTAAATGTGTGCAAGCAACATAAAACGTTTTCTAAGAATAAATAAGAAGCAATAAAATGCACAATAATAATAAATAATGAGTCGGCCTCGTGGCACAGACGGTTGCGGCAGCCGTCGTCTGCTCCGAGGAGGCTACAGGTTCGAGTTTTGTGTAGACATGATCGTATTTGTGATTGTCCCTCACCCCTCGCCATCATCCTATCATCTTATAATACATACTTCATGGCATAACAACCTTGTCGTACTGAAGTATACAGCTGAAAAGCTGATCATGGAAAAATTACACACGTTAATCGTGGTTAGTTATGTGTATACACCAATAATATAATAATAATAATAATAATAATAATAATAATAATAATAATGCAATAACTGATGGTATCATGTTCATGACGCGCAGAAACGTGCTTGGATGGTGTACCAAAATATCATTTTTTACTGATACGTTCTTGCTTGCTACGAATATTGTCTTCGATTCGGAGCTCCATATACACTACATCCATCAATTATGTAAGGCCTTTAGGGGGGTAGGAGTTCAAGGCGAATCTCACCTAATAAACGCGGGGAAGAGGTGGGAGTCTCGGCAAATATGTATTTTTGTCGCTAAATCAGTGCTAAATTGCGAGAAAACCAAGACAAGTTAAGTAAAGCACGTTATAAAATATGGCTAAATCTTGCACAATAGTTTTATTGCGGTTATGTGAATGCTACAATAAGTAGCATAGTATACTGAGAAAAAGAATCTAAGAAAAATTACCATTATTTTTTATCATTAATGAAATAAATTTCATTACCTATATATTTACTGAAGATTTAATGAAAATTTACAGAAAATTAATTATTGCACTGTTTTTAGAACTACAATTACTCTATTTTCAAAATACTAGTCATATCTAGTCTTAAATAAATATAATTAAACAAATTATGTTTTTTACATAAATCCCAGTGCAATCAATCTTAAATCAACCTTTCTAGATTAAAAATACGCATTTTAATAAATCTCACGTGAGATTAGAAGGGAAGGGGGTAGAGACAAATCTCACGTCATCTCACCAAAGAGGAGCGGGAATCGAAGAGATCGCCTAACTCGCCTCACGTAATTTATATACGTTTAATAAGGTTGATTCGATTTATGTAGACAAAAAAAACAGTAGAAACTGTATGTGACGTATGGGCCCGTTTTCTTGAGTTCCAGAACTTCTTCCCAACATTTGAACTACAAATAGTTGAATGATGAGTAAAAATTTAAAAAAATAATAATAAAATTGAAAAAAAGTGAGATAAGCAGTTTGAATACACTAAACGTTTTCGCCCTCGAGTTAACGAAAACTTCTTTGCATCGGCAAACGAACTCCAGATTTGATTCCTCTGTATTGCCAACAAAATAGCAATTCACCCCCAGCTCTACTCCTACCATTACCACCACGACAAGCAAAAGGAGGTGCGCATGGTGAAGCTACATTTACATCCAGAACCAAAACAAGGGGTCATATCAGCATTTCCTCAATGGATCAGGAAAACTGGACCATAGCTGATCGAGATGGTGGTCATTGACCAGGAAACTAAAGTACATTACTTGTCACAGGCACATTGTTTTTTTTTATTATACATTACAAATGGTAAATTAATGCATTTATCTATATATATATATATATATATATATAATATACTATATATATATATATATATTACATGTGGTTTTGTTAGAATAAATATGTTTCTTCTAAAATATTCTATTTTTGTTAACCAGAGAACTTTCCATGGGGATTAATTTGAAAACTCAGTAAGGGCGTTTAACTTTATTATTGTAACTCGTGGCGTAGTTACAATTTTCATGAACTCGATCTGGGAGGGTCGCGAGTATGAGTCCCGCCTTGGACATAGATGGCGGGACTCAAAGCGCCATGGACATATTGGCACTTAATTGTACTCGATGTGGAAGAGCACACTAATACCATGTTCTTCAGGACAGTTTCGTTGGAGAGGATTATATCTATGGGCAATGGTCCTCGAGGGACCCGTGTGGCACTTGAAAAGCCATTGAGCCCACCCCCAGATCCGACAATGAACTAGGTTTCTGATCCTGAGCTTCATTTCTCACTGACTCCAAGTTAGTTTTTCCTATCGTTTTTCTTTCTGTCTGATTTACTGCTTTCGCGCCACTCACGTCTACTTCATTTGAATGTTTCCTCGTGCAAATCTTTGGTTTTTTAAATTACCTTATAGTACGTGAAAACAATGTATTACTTATCTCATATTTTTATAATCTGTAAACCAGAGGTGACTTATCAAAATGGTTGCACATTTGCACTATTACCAGAAACTCTTAATCAATAATATAGTAATCAACATTATTACGTATTGTACTTAATAAGTAAATAATATGTTAAATTAGGTATGAAATGAATCGATCGAAGCAAATTAACGATAACCCTAATTTTAGACAAAAGACATTTATAAGATCTGAATTTTTTTCAAAGAACAAACATAATTATCTAAAAGCTGCACAGGCGCGTTCATTGAACTACAATAAGTTGATACAGAAAGTCACAGGAAGTGTGTACAGAAACTGAGAAATGCTGGGAATTTTGCAAGTTTCTGTATACTATTCTGACTTACAAGAAAAAGCAGTAGTGAGTAGAGAACAAATTTTCGTGAAAATACATATTTTTACAGGAACAGGATACCAAGTCAATATATTATTATTATTATTATTATTATTATTATTATTATTATTATTATTATTATTATTAAATTTACAAGACATTCTGAATGAGTTAGAACCATTATTTTTCATATTTTTATATTGTACGTTTTACTTTCATATTTCACCATTCAAGAGAACATACCACAGTAATTTCTACATTTTTACCATATCAATACATATTACACATTTAATATATTTATTCGGGGAAACGGAACATTCTTACTAACCATCTAAAAGCATCATTCTTACAAAGCAATGTAATGCAACTGCGCTTGTATGACCACCGGACCTTCGCCATGAACTACCAAACTTACCCCCCTCCCCTTCTTAGATACCGCGTCCTCGGAATCAAGGATGAGCGAATGTTTGTGAAGCAGAAGTAATTTCAACTTCATGCTTGCTCGTGATTCAAATGGCCCATGCGTAACTCTATCGAAAAGTAACAAATATATTTTTTACAGATCATTGTATTATCGAGATTGGTGAAAGGGAGCGATACCCCCCCCCGCCCCCGGTAACCATTTCTGGCCGGCTACACTGTATTACATTTCGAATAAAACTCTTGTGTGGTGAAGACCAGCATACAACTACTTTTTTCAAGACGCTTTCTTTCTTCCATTTTAAAGTCTGATCGGCTACCTTTTGTGCTTGGCAAATTTATACGTGGAATAATTTTGAACACTGTAATGTATTTTTATTTTACAATTTTTATTATACATTTTGGAAAAAATAAATACAAAGTTTTGAATTTAAATTGCTTTTTTCGGTACAATAAATTCCGTTCCCTAGTAAATAGGGTTGCCTCTGCATTGGGCTGATCTCTTCCCGTAGGTACGTTGCGAATGGTGTTCGAATCTAATTCTCAAATTGGCCGATTAATGTTCTTTTCATCCATATTGAGTGGACAAAATCCACAGTAGGAACAGTTTCGAAACTTTCTTCTGACTCAAGCCGCATACAGTACACATTAACCACCACGAGGTGGCGAAAGTAAGTAATGTACATTACTGTATCGATGAATTTTAGAAATATGAAAAAACAAACAAACAAACAACAACAACAACAACCAAAAAAACGACCAAACAACAACAGAAATCAGACTGATAGAGAGAAGTATCTAACTATGCTTCTAGGTCAAACAGGTAATGGAATTATTTATTTCTAAAACATAAGGAACACCTGGTGTTTTTACCACTTGAAATGGCGAGTGTGTTATTTATAACGCACGTAAACAATATATTAAATGATTTTCGTTTCTATTTTAAAAACTATAATTGTGAATATAGTAGATCATCGGGGTCTGAAGAGCTGCAGACCTATGAACGTTGAGCCCCTCCCTCGATTCTGTTACGCTACTGAGCGCTCTCAAATTTGCATGTTAGGCTTTCCTGCACGCCGGGCAAAGCACTGCTAGATTCTTTGGCAGCCTGACTGAACAGTGCAATTACAGATTGATTAGCCTCTGCATAAAAACACGTATCTAATGTCATACTAGTAAAAAGTAGTATTGTGCTGTACGTGTACTATTTTATTTTACGAGTACATTTAAGCAACTCATTTCATGTGCAGATTGCTGGGTTATAACAAATAATATATTGTATTATAAAATGTATACTAATTTAATAACAAATAGATCTGTAATGTGACAACGTGACATTCATTAATAGTGATAAATATATTCCGGTGCTCTTCGAAATATAACAACTTCAATACTAAGAAACAATGAATAGTATTAAATGCTGTTCTCAAAAACCCCGTGTTGGAGGGGAATCAGGTGTTCAGTGCTCGCGAGTCGGTGTAACGTACGCCCGGTCTCGAGTGGTTCTCAGATTTGCCACAGTGCTGCGCACTGAAGCCCAGATCAACTGGCTGGCTGAATTCAGAAGGCCCCGAGGCGCGTGCAGTGTCGTCCGCTACCCCGCGTAATGCGCAGTGTTTGTGCCGTCACGGGAGGTCCGCGCGGGTAGTTTAGTGATCTGCGCGAGTATCGCGAGTATTTTGAAGTTTTAGAGCAAATATGGCAGTGTGCAGCTCACGAATGTTAAAATGGTTCCCGTTTAACCCCAGCCTCTCCGAGGAAATGGAGAGGTTATTTGCTCCTGCTAGTGATTCCTATGGTAAGTGTGATATTGATGAAACGTGGTTGGTACGAATTTGCTATGTGGCCAAAGTGTACAGTCTTCTTTACAAATTGTAGCCATTAATCCAGATTTTCATAAATAGCATGCCCTTTGCTCTGATTGGAACGGTGGTGAACGATTGAAAAGTGTGACCTTGAGGATCCTGGCATTGCGAAACAAAGGTAGATCTGGTAGGTTCGTGTAGTTATTTCTATCGTCAGATGTACCCAAGTAGCTGGATATCGAGATTTTGTGTAAAAGTATTCTTTAATTGCACTTTTCATGACTGCATATCTAAGACGCTCCAAGTTGCGTAATTGAAACGATTGGAACTTACCATAATGTCGTATAACTTCTTAGAGGATGGCTGACGGTGGGAATGCATATGAAACAATTTTTAATTGCAGTGACGAGAACACAGAAAATGTACCATTTTAAAATAAAAGGTGCTAATTAAACTTTTTTATTCGTGTTGGGCCAAAAGGAAGAGAGGTCTGTATTGCACGAATTGATCAGATGAAAATCTTACACTATAAGAACAGGAAATTTATCTGATTCGGTTCCAAGAACGGCGGCCGGCCGTCTGTCACCGGGAAGCGATCGAGTGACTCAGAACTGCATGTTTATCGAAGGTTATCACATGAAGACAAAAGGGCGGGAAGGTGCTTTCGTTCGACCTTACGCGTGAAATCGTTGCGTACGGAGTCCCTACAGTGTGCCGTAAATAAGTATTTAATATTATTGAACTAAATAATAAGCGCATGAAGATGCAGCTGAGTAGTAAAAATTATTGAAATGCAGAAAACAGAATTACTCCGATCCCGATAGTCTTTCTCTTTTAGGATTTCCTTTACGCATTTAAAATACTGGCAGTGTTGCTGGATACAGTAGGCAGAAAAGTAGGAATACATTAGTGTGTATGTTTATGTATGTGGAGGTAAATGTCTGTACGCTCTTATCAGGAGTAGAAATTTAGACAACGGCAATGCAGTGTCAGATGAGCTGAAATAAAATGGTGAAAGTGTCATTGTGACGACGAGAGACACATGATATTTATTGAAACTTTATCCAGGGAAGAATGTTTTGACCTGACGTCCGATATTACGAGAATTTATTGCAGCCGTATATTTCTTCCCGTGTTGAAAAATCTAATCTGTTCTTAAATGTATTGCAGTGGGAATTGACGTCAATCAGATTATTGCCGTATATTATTTATGTGTCGAATTGAAATTTGTCAAAAGGAGTATTGGCAAGAGCTAGAGCGTGCAATGAGACACTCTACCTTTTACTTCCTGGAGGTTATATTTTCTGATACCGGTTTTAATTTCCTGGTTGGCGAAAAAAAAGCCCCAAACAAAAACCTAGTTTTGGCGCGCTGTTTATCAAATTTATTCAGATATGTTTTCCCTTGTAGCAAATTAATCGGTAATCGGTAATCTGCTATCAATGTTGCGTCATGAGCGAGGGTTTTCCAGCGTTGCCAGTTGCCACACTGTTCAGAGAACTGACAACCAACAATCGGCAACTTGTAGGCAGTGGGTGTCATAGAAAGAAACATAAACATATAATCTTGGCCTAGATCTCAACTATGTTCCTTTGTCTAAAATAATAATGCAACTCGGTCTTTTTTTTTTACAAAAATATAATAGAAAATAATTCTTTTTAAAACTTTTCTATTCGTAGATCATAGAACTTTGTTAATGCGGGTGTTGCGCGTGTTGTATGGAATGTGATTCATCTCAGGATTTTATCCATGTCCTAAATGATATTATCTTCGCAAGTTTTCGGGACATTGGTTATTTAGACGACAGGACTCTTACAATTTGTGATATTATTAAAGTGTAGCTAGTTATTATTTGCAAACAGTTGCTGTAATACGGCAGCGAACGTTTCTGGTAATTAGTTTGTCAAGAATTTTCGACGCTAACATTTATTCCTACTTCCACAAATGTTAGTAAAGGAGTGGAGGCGGGATTCAAGAAAATGTGCGAGTACTCGGTTATTTAGCCTCTTCTGTAGGAAAACTAGTCGGGTTCTATTACTTACCACAATTTGTACAGAACCGTTTCTGTGGTGATTTCTAGTTGTTAGTCTCTTCGGAAATAAGGAGTTTGTAGATTACATTGCAGAGAAAAAGGTGTTCTTGAATAAACATTTAAAAAGTTCCAGTTTTGATTTTAGTTAAAATATTTTCCTCGTGTACGTACGTAAATGCGATGTAATGAACATACGGTATATAGTATATACATAGAGAAAGTTTTGTAATGCTGCGGAAAAGGGACGTCGAGGGTTTACCGAAATAAACGCAATGGGAATCTGTGGATAACAACAATTAATTTTTCGTTTTTGCTTTCAAAATTGTGTGCACAACACCTCTAAAAACCATTTATAGATTTTTTTCAAAATCAATATTTCTCAATCGATTTGGCCCCATCTAAAGTCCTGCGATTTGCTATTTTAAACGAAATTTTTTAAATTCCGGAGTACTTCACATACAGCCCCTGGGGCATTTTGAAAATTATCGAAAATGACTCCATCATTCTCCCCCCCCCTTCTAGGAGTTAACAACTATAAGAATAACCCCGTTCTGATTTGTACTGTCCCCTTTGAAACGTCTCCCCTCGAAAATTGCAGAAGTTAGTTTTTGCATCCCTTTATACATTATTGAAAATAGATTTTTTCCTTCAAATATTTTTTCTTCTGAATACTTTTTTTATTTATGTTTTTTAGTGTTTTAAAAATACCAGCTTGCAACCAATATTGAAGGGATGGGTGAATATAAGATTTTTCAAAAACTGGTCATGTTTTTCTGTACTATTATTATTATTATTATTATTATTATTATTATTATTATTATTTGGATAAAGATACATACACTGAACAAAATCACATAAAGACCATTTATATGTAATCTTTAAAATTTAAGAGAATTTTACAATGTAGTTTTTATGAAATATTTTACGTCGTGAATATTTACATTGCAGGTGTTGTTATAATGTGTTTTGAGCACAAGTTATTAAAGTGGTTTCCTCTGAAGTTTCTTTCTTAAAGATGTCTCCAAAATTTTAAAATGAAAATGTGCAAATAAAAAGTGTTTTACTATAAAGTTCTCAGTCTTATACTAATTTAGTTTTACGGTCCCGAGAAATTGAGAAAGTGTCAAATGAGTACATATTTTTTAATATACAAAATTGTCTGAACGTTAAGATTTTATGAAGGTAAATTAAATCAATTTGTTGATTGACTCGTTCAAAAAGCATTGCGTTTTACAAATATTTTTGTACGGTTAGTTAATTTTGAGAAAATAGTTCATTAGAGTGCTGATACATTTTAATTAAAAAGTAACATATTTGCATTTTCGCAACGGAGCTGATTGATGTAAAGTTGTTATGATGTACATCTATGCTGCAGTTGTTAGTTGTAGTTATATTATTAGTTTCGCTATCTCGCTACGGAATATAGAGAAAGTAATGTAATGCTGCGTGAAAACTCTTATTACAGGTCTCTGGTGACGAAAAAAGTGAATAAATCCAGTTGCTAAATTTAAAGATTGGATAATTTAACGAGTTGTAAAATCGAGTGACGGAATAACGTCTGTCAGTCTGTAAACAACGCTAGCGGCTAAACCATTCAGCCGATTTTCTTTAATATTGATATCCCCCAATCGATCTGGTTGATGTCGCGACTCCTTGAATTTGAGTATTTTTCGCGTCATTTTGCTTGAAAATGAGTGCAAGATAGTACATGCTGCGATAGCGTAAGCCAACGACGTGCGTAAGACAAAAATTCTTACAAGCAAACATCTCGAGTCAAATTCGAAAGAAGAAAAAAAAAATTCTCTGCACCAAAAAACAAAAGTATGCCGATATCGAAAATTTTTACAACTCGCAGAGACAAAAATGTCAATTTTAGACAGAAATGGTCCTTGTTGAATTATCCTTGCTGCGGAGACACTTCTTTGAAAATGAGCTTGCATTTTAATTTGGATCTGTGCATAAACTAAAATTGTTTGTAACTACAATGTAGAAATAATACTTGCTGATGGTGACTTGCATATGGTTTCAAGAAGAGTATTAGCACACGCACGTAGGCTGGGAGAGTTGGTAATAAATGTAACCAATTAACTTCTTATTTATTATTCATTTTTTTATTATTAAAACATTTATTACCATTTATCCGTCTTGAAACGATAATTAACAAAACATGTAGTAAAAATATTATCCACGGCAAATAATAAAAAAATCGTCACATACAAAAGTACCCTAAACTAGATATTGTATTTTGAAAATATTCTGCTTGGTGTGAGACGGCGGCGGAGTCGAGAGCTCGCTCGAAGACTTTCTCGCTGTTGACAATCTACAGTTCGGCACCATTAATCAGACCCCGTGGGTATGGTGGGTAGCTAGACCCACATGGAAAAAATCGAGTGGGTAAAAAGTCCTCTCTGGATTTGGGGCGAGAAAAATATTCCACGAACGTCAAATTTCATAAATGAACGAAGTTTTTCGTCATTGCGACGACTCAAAACTTAGTATATGCGATAAACTCGGCTCAACAGTATTGCGATTTTAAAAGTTTCCGACATGACCGACAAAATCGATTTGAAAAAATTGCTAATCGAGTTTATATAAACAATACAATGGGCAAAGCTGTTTTTGCATTGTAATAAGGAATTTTGCTCAAGTTAGATAAAAATAAATTTGATGACAATTTAATAATAAAAATGGCAATTAGAAAAAAGTTCGTTTTGTATTTCTCCCTCCGTAAAACTTATCGGAGGTGTTGAAGGGAGGAGTGGGAAGTAGGGGGCTGGCACCCGGATCAATTACTTACTCGGGCTTTACATCACCGCCGTGTCGGCCCTTTCGCAGTATAAAATAAAACTCGGACTGTCGTATGTGGCCTCCATGAGTTGTAAACATTTGCAAGACGACAGTTTTTTGCGGAAATTGCAGTTGTCTTCTCTTTTTTTTTCTCCATGTATTACATCAATACCC